TTTTTTTTTCACATTTAAATTTTCACCACCTATGACATATAAACTTGAACCTGATTCCTTTTTATAAAGTTACCCGTGGCACTCCCTTATAAAATTCTTAGATTAATTTTTTCCCTTTCCCCCAGCATTTTTAGAAAACATCAAAAGGCTCACTCCGGCCAAAAGTTTTCACCTATCTGGGTCACTCAGGATTAACCTAAAAACAGTATGGCTTCTAGAAATCAAGTTATGCTTTTATTATATGCATAGGATGAAATGATAAACATAACAAATATTTACTTAACAAAAACATAAAAATACAAAAACATGAATATAAAAGAGTAAAATATAATTTAGAGATTTATAAATTCATCTTTAAAAGATTTACAACTAAGGATTTCCCTTTCGGGAAGTCCCTAAAGTTCTAAAATAAACTTAAAAGAATAAGAATACAAGAATACCTTCAATATTCACAAGAATGTTTCAGCTATACAATATTTTTTGGATTGAGAATTTTTCTGGGGAAGAGGTTTCAAGGTTTTTTAGATAGCAGAGAGTACACAGATTGTAAACTTCTGCCTAAATCGAATGAAACTCATTCCTTAAATAGAAAAATTCTTGGGAGCAAAAAGTCCAATCTATCCTTGAGAAAGGCACACGTTTCACCGAGAAACTTCTGGCCATTCTAAAATCTAACAAGTGACAAAAGTTTTTATGTCTTTTTACTAAAAATTCTAAAGGTCTATAGTTGGGAATCTTTCTTTTACAAGATTTCCACCAACTTTACAAAAAGGTCTATCAAATGTCTAAAAATTCAAATAGGAATCTTTTCTCTTTTCAAAAAGTCCCGACACCTTTTCTAATAATACAACAATAATGAAAATTTATTCTAAAAGTCTACAGTATAATGATAAAAAGTCTTCTTTCAGATTTGTCTTGTTATGCATTATTGAGGATCTTTATCACGTATCAAGATTGTGGTGTGCCATTAATGAAAATGACATTCCACTGTCTGAATTATTGTATCCTTCGTTCTGTGGATCTTCGTCTTCATCTGAAAGTCTGGAATTACTGGCTTCATCTTTTTCTTTTTGATCTGGGCATTCTGAAATTTCTTTCTCTTCTCCATGATTCTTTTTTAAGATTGTCTCAAATGCTTGATTGACTGCTTCTCTAATTTGTTCTTTTAATCCTTCATCATTTTTCTTCTTCTTAATCTTTTTCTTTTTTCTGGAAAAAATTCCTTCATCTTTTTTGGATTGCTTTTGGAATTCTTCAATTTTTTCAAAAATCTTTTCTAAAGAAACAGTATCTGGATTAGGGTCTTGTGATTCTTGAAGAAATAAACAGTCTTGACTATCTCGGGCCACCATTTTTTCTTTTCCCTTGCTGGACTGAATTTCTTGGGCTTGTGAAAATTCTGGATTATTTGAAAAATGTTCTGGTGAAAAATGTTCTGGTGAACTATATTTAACTAAATAATCAAATTTTCCACTGGGCTGTCCTAAAAGATCCCAAATCTCTTTACCTTTTTCTGTAGCAGATTTATCAGTCTGCTGAGTCTAATTATCTTTTTTAGTAGAGGAATCAACAGTCCCCTGAGTCTGTTGGGCTTTTGGTAAGTCCACAACCTTCAACGGATTTGATAAGTCTTTACCAGCTACCGTTTGGGCTGGACTAGCTATGGACTTCTTGGGCTCCATAGTACCTGTTGGATAATGGACTTTTAGATCCAAAATCTCTTTTTCTAGTTGGACCACTTTCTTTTGGAGTTGGGTTCTTTCTAGTGAAAGGTTCTGATTGGCTTCATTGATAACTTTGTAATTTCTTTGCATACACTCACAGTGTTGGCAGAAAATATTCTGATCTTTACTTGGAGAGAAGTCTAATGGAGGGTCTGAGTAATTTTTTAAAGAATGAGATAAATAAAAATTTATTTCTATATGCTGTCTTGCTGCATCTAATGCTTCTTGAAAATTTGTAAAACCTTTGTAAAGAGAATCTGGAAAATTTTTAATGCAATCTAAGACTTCTATCCAAGAATGGAAAATTCCTGGATTTTTACCTTTAATAACAATATAAAATTTAAATCTTTGCTTGTTCTGACTAAAATGTTCTGACAATGCATTCATGCATGCAAGAAAATATTTTTGATCTTTTGGATTCTTATTATATGAAATCCATAAATTATCTAAAATACGTTTTTCTTCTCTAGATGAAATATGTGGTAAAATTTTAAAAGAAATATTACTATTGGGAAAAACTATAAGTTCTTGGTTTTCAAACCTTAACTTGTCTTGTAACATTGGTCTGTTCTGGTTAAATGGAGTCTGTGGTAAAGATCTTGATGCAAATGAATTCCCAGGTGGAATTTCTGGTCTTATAGACCTTGATCTTGTCATCTGTATAACAAAATTATGTTAAACAAATTTAATAATTTCTATCTATTATTATTCTACTTAGTATGTCTGCCACTTTATTATCACTACCTTTAATATGCTCAAATTCTATATTAATTCCTGTATTTGTAATTCTATCTATAAAGTTTAACCACCTTCTTCTACTACTTCTTCTTGAATCTATTTTCATTTTATTAACAAAAGAAACTATGGCTACACAGTCTGTTCTTATAGTTATTTCTTTCTTAGATATAATAAATAATTCAAAACTATCTAATACATAATTTATAGCTAATAATTCTACATCTATGCTACTTAAATTTTCTTTTTCTTTATAATTTCCACTATTGTACCTACAAATTTTTTCTGTACTTTTATCAGTATATTTATTGGGTTTGCATATTAATATAGCTTCCCATCCTGTCATACTTCTATCTGTTTCTATAATTAAATATTCTGAATCTAATGGCATAGCCAATTCTGGCAAAATTTTTATTTTTTCTTTTATTTGTTGAACTAATTTTATGTCTTCTTGATTAAAAAATCTTTGTCCTGTAGGAGATGTCTTTGCATATAAGGGTCTTGCTATTTTTCCCAAATCTTTTATAAATGGTCTAGCATAATTTACTAATCCTAAAAAATTTTGGATTTGTTTTAAGTCTTCTAGTTTGTCTGAAAATTCTAAAGCTTTCTTAACAATATGGGGTTGTAACTTAATTTTACCTTCTCCTATATTAACTCCTAAGAAATTGATAAATTCTTTAAATAAAATCATTTTCTTTTTACTGATTATTAAACCATGTTTAATAAATTCTGAAAATACTATTTGTAAATGTCCTCTACGTTCTTGTTTATTTTTACTAAATACTAAGATGTCATCTATGTATACTATTACAAACTATGTTTATTAAAAATACTTTCCATTTTTCTTTGGAAAATACTTGGTGCATTCTTAATTCCAAATGACATTACAAGCTATTCAAAATGTCCTTCTGGACAAGTAAAAACTGTCCATTTAATACTTTCTGGATGCATTTTTACTTGCCAAAATCCTGACTTTAAATCAAATTTACTAAAAATTTTGCAGTCTTGGATTTTATTTATTAAAACTGTTTTATCTGGTATGTTATAAGCATCATCTATAATATTATCATTAAGTCTTTTATAATTAATTACCATTCTACTTTTTCCTCTAACAATTTCTAAATGTTTTCTAACTATAAAGGCTGCTGATCTATGAGGACTTTCTGATTTTTTAATTACTCCTAGTTCCAATAGTTCTTTTATATGTATTTTAAAGTCTTCTAAATCTAAATTTGTAGCTTCTATGTTTTTAGTTTTAATTATATATTCTGGATTTTTAATTTTTAATTCGCATAATATTTTATCTTTCTCCCAGTATTTTAAAACATTTTCTCCTATTATTTCTATTTTTTCTAATCTAGATATTAAATTTTCTATTTCTTGTTCTGTGATTAACATATCATAAATCTTTTCATTATCAATTAGTTCCATGGTTCCAAAATCTATTTCTAAAATTTCTTCTTCAAAATTTATTTCTTCTAAATTATCTTCCTCTATTAATTGACATTCTCTTTCTTTTTTACTTACAACTATTACTATTACTAGCTCCACGCTTCTCTATGCACTCTGATGGAAAACAGGTAGTCTGTATTGGTGTAAATAATGTATATTTTTGCAAATGTAAAAAATTTTTAGTAATTGTAATACTTCCATTATCTTTTAATAAAAAACTTAATCTTATAATAAAATCTGTATCTTTAATGTTTAAAGGTCTAACCCAAACTGATTCTTTTGGTAAAGTATATTCTATACTTCTACCACAGTTTGTCTCAAAACTAATCTTACTATTTGATTGTAATAATTCTGTATAAGTATAAAGTTCTCCATCCATTTATTGTGCTTCTATTGGTTTGTCTGAATATGTTATGCATTGTTTTGGTATTAATTTCTTATTAATTATACAATTACTGCATCCTGAGTCTATTAGACCTAAGCATTTTATTTCATATTGTCCTATTCTTATGTAACATTTTACCTTAATACTTTTAAGTTTTTCTGAATTACATATTACCTGAACATACTCTTTTTCTTTATATTCTGTACTTTGACTTTGTTCTTCTATTTCTATTGTTTTTCCTTTATTATTATATTCTAATATTTCTATCTTATTTATTATAAATTTTTGCATTTCTTCTAAACTTTCTATTCTTTTTCTAAGAATTTTTATTTCTGATATTTCAATTCTTTCTTTTAAAATTTCTGAATTGACCTCTTCTTTTTCAATAAGATTCTTTTCTTCTAAACATTTTATACATGTTTCTTTATAACATTCTAAGCATTTAGCTTTAAGCTTTCTTACTGGGTACCAATTACATAAATAACAAGTTATATTATCTGCTCCTTTATATTTTTGCCAATTATGTAAACATTCTATAATCATGCTATTCATTAAATTAAGTTCTTCTGATTCTAATTCTTCTTGTAATCTTATATTAGAGAATTCATCTATTATTTCATAATCAGATTCTTTATTTTCTTCTAAATTTTTATCTTCTATTAATATAATACTATAAATAGATTCTTTATCTGAGATATATTCATCTAATTGTATTAAATTTTCATTAGTACATTCTATTAATGTACTCTTCTTATCATAATTATTTATTCTTTTTAGACAAGTCTTAGATAAATGTCCATTACTGTTACAAACATAACAACTAAGTCTATTCTTATAAATTCTTTCTTGTTTAAATTTTCTCACATGTCTTTTTTATCTAAGTATGATTTTCTCTTATTAGATTTTCTAAGAAAGTATCTTTTCTTAAAAGATCTTTTATTCTTTCTTTCTTTATTACTATATTTATTTTTTCTTGAACTAGAGGCTCCATAAGTTTGTGGGGTAAAAATATCTTTACAGAATTTATAGTCTGTCTTTTTAAATTGTTTTTGAATTTGTAACTTTACACATTTATCTTCTAAGCATCTTATTACATGTTGTATTCTTTGTCCTATACTCCATTGTTTTTCTGATTCTTCTTTTACTGCTAGTAAATTATTCCATTTATCTGTAGTCTCTAGTCCTAATGGTCCTGGTAATTTATGAAATAGTTTATTACCGATTTCTTGATTAAATGTGTTTCCTGATATTGAAGTTAAGTAATGGTATTCATTTAAAAAGTTCTTAACATATCTTCCTTTAGTCCATTTATAAAGACTAAGTTGTTCTAAGTCTCTCATAGCTTTTCTTTGTATACTCATATGTCCTGAATTTGGGTCTGCTCCTGTTATTAATATTTGTATTTTATTAACAAAATTATAGGGATTGCTTTCCATATTAATTAATTGTTCAAATTCTTCTTTCTTTTCTAATTTGAATGCTTCCCACATAATTTTTACACTTTCTCTTAAAAATGTTTCTAAGTATCTATACGTATCTAAAGCTTCCATTTCTCAAAAATTTCTAATATAATGTCTTATTATAGTATTTTTTTCCATACATCTATTACATTATTCCATGTCTGTGGATCATGTACTGTAATATTTAAAATCTGTGCTTTATATAAGAAAAAATTCAGTCCAGTAAAGGAAAAGAAAAAATGATGGCCCAAGATAGTCAAGACTATTTATTTCTTCAAGAATCACAAGACCCTAATTCAGATACTGTTTCTTTAGAAAAGATTTTTGAAAAAATTGAAGAATTCCAAAAGTAATCCAAAAAAGATGAAGGAACTTCTTCCAGAAAAAAGAAAAAAATTAAGAAGAAGAAAAATGATGAAAGATTAAAATAACAAATTAGAGAAGTAGTCAATCAAGCATTTGAGACAATCTTAAAAAAGAACCATGGAGAAGAGAAAGAAATTTCAGAATGCCCAGATCAAAAAGAAAAAGATGAAGTCAGTAATTCCAGACTTTCAGATGAAGACGAAGATCCACAGAACGAAGGATACAATAATTCAAACAGTGGAATGTCATTTTCATCAGTGGCACACCACAATCTTGATATGTGATAAAGATCCTCAATAATGCATAACAAGATAAATCTGAAAGAAAACTTTATCATTATACTGTAGACTTTTAAAATAAATTTTCATTATTGTTGTATTATTAAAAAAGGTGTTGGGACTTTTTGAAAAGAGAAAAGATTCCCATTTGAATTTTTAGACATTTGATAGACCTTTTTGTAAAGTTGGTGAAAATCTTGTGAAAGAAAGATTTCCAACTGTAGACCTTTAGAATTTTTAGTAAAAAGACATAGAAACTTTTGCCACTTGTTAGATTTTAGAATAGCCAGAAGTTTCTCGATGAAACGTGTGCCTTTCTCAAGGATAGATTAGACTTTTTGCTCCCAAGAATTTTCCTATTTAAAGAATAAGTTTCATTCGGTTTAGGCAGAAGTTTACAACCTCTGCTATCTAAAAAACCTTGAAACCTCTCCCCCAGAAAAATTCTCAATCTAAAAAATATTATATAGCTGAAACATTCTTGTGAATATTGAAGGTATTCTTGTATTCTTATTCTTTTAAGTTTATTTTAGAACTTTGGGGACTTCCCGAAAGGGAAATCCTTAGTCGTAAATCTTTTAAAGATGAATTTATAAATCCCTAAATTATATTTTACTCTTTTATATTCATGTTTTTGTATTTTTATGTTTTTGTTAAGTAAATATATGTGATGTTTATCATTTCATCCTATGCATATAATAAAAGCATAACTTGATTTCTAGAAATCATACTGTTTTTAGGTTAATCCTGAGTGACCCAGATAGGTGAAAACTTTTGGCCGGAGTGAGCCTTTTGATGTTTTCTAAAAATACTGGGGAAAGGGAAAAAATTAATATAAGAATTTTATAAGGGAGTGCCACGGGTAACCTTATAAAAAGGAATCAAGTTCAAGTTTATATGTCATAGGTGGTGAAAATTTAAATGTGAAAAAAAAAAAGGATTTATATATGATTCTTAAGAAAGATTTATAGAAAACTAAGGAGGGTACTGAATAGGATTTTTTACTAAAAATTCTAAAGGTCTACAGTTGGGAATTTTTCTTTTACAAGATTTCCACCAACTTTACAAAAAGGTCTATCAAATGTCTAAAAATTCAAATGGGAATCTTTTCTCTTTTCAAAAAGTCCCGACACCTTTTCTAATAATACAACAATAATGAAAATTTATTCTAAAAGTCTACAGTATAATGATAAAAAGTCTTCTTTCAGATTTGTCTTGTTATGCATTATTGAAGATCTTTATCACGTATCAAGATTGTAGTGTGCCACTGATGAAAATGACATTCCACTGTCTGAATTATTGTATCATTCGTTCTGTAGATCTTCGTCTTCATCTGAAAGTCTGGAATTACTGGCTTCATCTTTTTCTTTTTGATCTGGGCATTCTGAAATTTCTTTCTTCTCCATGGTTCTTTTTTAAGATTGTCTCAAATGCTTGATTGACTGCTTCTCTAATTTGTTCTTTTAATCCTTCATCATTTTTCTTCTTTTTAATCTTTTTCTTTTTTCTGGAAGAAGTTCTTTCATCTTTTTTGGATTGCTTCTGGATTTCTTCAATTTTTTCAAAAATCTTTTCTAAAGAAACAGTATCTGGATTAGGGTCTTGTGATTCTTGAAGAAATAAACAATCTTGACTATCTTGGGCCACCATTTTTTCTTTCCCTTACTGGACTGAAGATATATATACATATATATATATATACATATATATATATAGAATATGTAGAATTAATTATGACCCAAAAAAAAAAAAAATTCCAACTAAACAAACTCTAGGATAGTTTGGGGGTGGTTGAACTGTTGTAGGGAGATATTAAGATAGATATGGATTCTATGTGTGTTAAATTTTGTGTGGATTGCTTAAGACCAATGAGATTATAATTAGGTGAAAATATTAAGTTAAAGATTGATTTTCGAGAATAAGTGTTTAATGAGGGGCATTGCACTAATCATTGCGTAGAAGGGAAAACACTGCTATGTTGTGAAGCCAAATGAAGATAATTATATACATAAAAAGAGATCAGGCTAGTGCATAAAACAGAATATGCACGGCAAACTTGAAAAAAAATAATAATAATAATAATAAAAAAGGGCAGGTGCATGAGACAGAAGACGCACTACATGCCTTGATTAAGTCTCAAACACTTATTTTAGAGAATTAGACATTTGATAAGGGATTAGTAGCTTAGTTGATTCTTGGAGGTTGAATCAGTCAAAATTAAGAAGAATCCTCATTTATTGATATATTGAGCTACAATTAGTAAAATCTAACCAAATTAGAGAGGGTGAGTAATAGTATATAAATTTAACCATAAATCACACCGTGAAAAAATAGTCACAAAATCAAGTTTGAGGGTGTGCATCCAACGAGATGAGAGACAATTGACCATTGAGGGTTGGGATGAATCCAATTTGAAAAAGTATGTGATTAATTGAATTGATTATACACACACACACGTTGGTCGAGCATTAAACAAGTTAGACTATGTTTTGGCAGCAAACCTTAGAAATCTTTTGTTAAGCATTTTCAAATCCTGAGACAAGTGACAAGCTATTTCATTTGAAGTAATTTTGAAATTATATTGCTTGAGACTAGCAATATCCTGGTTAGGGAGTGTGATTAGTGTCTAAAAGTGCTTCAAAGATATATCATTTACAAGGCATTTTACATTCAATTTGTTTAAATTCACTAATGTTAGTCTCTAATTTTAATTCTCTTGCTGTAAATTCAATTTTCATAAATACATGTTTAAAAATGCAATTAATTGAAATACGTAATTACATACATGTCGGCATGAGTATTATACTTTTGAAAACGTATTTATTTGATGTATTTTACATGTATTTCTAAGGTAGAACAAGTGGAGCAAGTGGAAGAAAAAAATGTTGAAAAGTCAAGAATAGTGAGCTGTCTCAAGCAAGAAGCAGCTGTCGGTAAAATGATCATAACTTGAGCTGCAGACATTGAACCAAGGTGATTCAAGTTTGATTGGAAAGATAAGGCATGTATCTATAACTTTCATGTTTTGCAAGAAGTCAAATTCGTATCACAAGGCAGCCAAAATTACCGTGCAAAGTACAACTTGTTATCTGCCGAATACAGCTTTTCTACATAAAGCAGCACTCATTGTTTTGACCATATCTGGAGTTTTAGAGATCCAATGGACGTGAAATATGAACCAATGGAAAGATAACTCAATTGGCAACAATTTATCTGTTGATCAAAAGTTCAAATTCACAGCACAAAGTATCTGAAAATTGGCATCAAGTTGCATGTTCCAACTGTCTTGAAGCTGGACAGAAATAAGTTGCATCGTCCACTTACATTTTGGATATTCCTTTGCCTATAAAAGAGGACCTTGACCAAGATTTTGAGAATCAACTCCTCTTCATCATATTCTAGTTTCCTTCATTTTCTTTGTAACATTTCATTATATATTTCTAAACCATTAGCTAAAGCTAGGGGTGAAACTTTGGTAAATATATAGTATTGTCTTTGATCTTTCACTTTGCTCTTCAATATTCATCTTCTTACTTGGTTGAAATATATGTTCTACAAATAGTTTTGGTTTGTTAAAGACTTTGATTTATTGTTGACAATTTTAGCACAATAAATGCTTAGATAATCTTACATACCAATAACTTATTTTGACATATTCTCTTAAACAATTATCAAGATCTATCTTTTAGTATACTTGCAATCAATGTTTTATCTTCCATATGAGATCACTCCTTAGTTGATTTTCATATGAGTTAAATATAATATCAAGAGCAATTTCTACCCATTTAGCCGAAGTGAATCCCCCACGCTATAGTGCTTTTCTCCATCGTATTTCCACCAACCATTTACCACTCATAGAATAGTTTATTTCCTTCCAATTCTCTGTGGTTCGACCTCGGACTTCCGAGTTTACTACTTGCGACAACCTGCACTTGGGTTTGCAACCTTAAAGTTGTAGCAGAAGTAATCAGATAAATATGTATAGACTTCCTATTGTCAACGTTTAATTGTTTCCCACCCCAACCCACAAGAAAACACAAATTACATGCACACAGCTCTCTTTGAGCTTAAAAGAAGCAAAAATAAATAAATAAATATCTATTTCATCTGGGGCACATTGATGACATGAAAATATTACATTGGCATAAATAATTAATCTAATCTGAACACAAAAATCGCAATCATGACAAGAATTGTTTACCTTTTTCTGAAGATCTACCAAGTAGTTCCTAAACAGATCCTCACGATCAGCTTCTCGTTCAACAGCCTTGAAACGCTCATCGCCTTCAAACTTTGCCGCTGCTTTGCTGGTTGATATATAAGATTCAAATAAGAAATTCCTTTCCCTGTCATCTAAGTAAAAAAGAGACATACCTCCAGCGGGTGGATGGTGTAAGTTCTTCACATTCCTAAGAGGAAATAAACAACTCAAATTATCCATCCAATGAGACACACATTGCAAAGAGATAGGTTGGGTAAATGCAAAAGCAAAAGAAGTTTTATTGCCAACATCATAGCACAACAATTATATAATAATGAAGTAACTAAAAAATGTTTTCTGTGTATGCTATCACCTGCATAATTTTTCGTTTTCCAACTTGTACGACCCCTATATTGTTGGCTATCTACATGTCACACTGACTATGTCTAATACCTAAATTTTATTGATCTCGGAAGCACCAAATGAAGGATTGTCTCGAACAACAGATATTGGTTCATAAAAAGGCATTACATGACATCTTGAATGTTTAATGATAGTAATAGCAATAAAAGAAGCCATTGCACCTACAGCACCAAGAATGAAAATACCAAAAGTACTTTAATGCTTACTTCCAACATATTTGTGAACTCCTCCTTCACTTTTCTCTGCCTGAGACGTCTCTCTTCAGCCTCCAATTTTTTTCTTTGCATCAAGTACTATCAAGTAAAACAAAAAGACCAATTTTATAGGTTACACAAAGGAACTGAACAGTAACAACTTTGAATTAACATTATGTTCAATAAATCAATCACCTCATCGAACGCTTGTTTCCGCTCACCAAGAGTTTTCAGTGCAGCATATCGTTTGTCATTAATTATGATTCGCATGGCCTGATATGGCATCTCAATATCAATTATTAGCACTCCAAGGACATATATGGAAGACCAGAGGAATACATTAAATTTACCTGCTCCCAACTCCAATCAGCCTCAACATTTGCAGATTCTAATAGTGCTTTGAATGCATTTTTTGCCTCCTGAATAGAAGTGATATAAAACTCATAAATCTCTCTCCTTCCATCAAATGTGAACAGAAGTATTTCAAATTTCATACCTGCTTGTTAGCAAATACCGTGGGTTCATCATCCAATTGTCTCTCTTCCACTGGAGTTACATTTATTTTTCCAGCAACAGCCATTCCCTTCTTTGCCTCCTGCAGTAGTTATACTCAATTTACAATGTATTATTACTTCTCCACTTGCTGACTCCTCCATATATCAAACATGTATATTTTCTTCAATCTATGTACCAATCTCACAAGCATATTAAAAAGGGTCAAAGGCTGGCATGCAACCATCAAGGGAAGTGCAATGTGAAAGGCAGAAAGAAATTTAAATATTCAATGTAGTCTGTTATTGAGCTTTCCCACTCTGCTTAATATAGGATGAGTAGCACAACCGTAGAACTGTTTAAGAGGCCATCCATACCTCAATATCCAGAAAAGAAGCCCCACCCCGTGAAGTCTCAACATTGGAGGATGAACTTTCCATGTTGCTCCTGAAATGGACAAGTGACCATAGAAGGGAAACTCTTGAAACAAATTGTGAAAGCCAATTCTATTAAAGAATTTCATACACTGGTGTTGAATTAGAAGGTGATGGCACAACTGTTTCTCCAGCTAAGGGCACACCAGCCGCACTTGTGGAAGCAGTGTGTATCGTGGGGGTGGCTGATGATCCAGAAACCATCACTGGAGAAGCAATAGTATCAGTAATGGAGGCCGCTGGAACAGGGCTTGAAGAGACAGGAAACATTGTTGTGTTGGTGGAACTGACTGTGGTGACAGCAGCAGATAGTCGTTCAGCAGAGGTGCCTGTAGAAAATGCTGGTTCAGTAGAGTTAGTATCTGCTCCCTGGGCAGCTTCCTTTTCAGCCTCTTCACGGGCCAACTGGAAGCACATATTGCAAAAGTAAGTCCACGAGAATAAAATAAGAAAGTAATCATACAAGTGCATTATTTCTAGTGAAAACCTTCAATTCATCAGGTATTGTCCATTTAGATAGCTTTGTTTCCTTGTTGTAGTAATACCTGTAAAAGGCCCATTGAGCTCAGTTCACAAATATAAATCGACTAAGTCAAGAAATTTACTACAGAAAAAGCTAAAAAGACATATACACTATAATTACACTCACTTTCTACCCTCAGGAGTTGTGAACTCTTTCCAAACAGTTGAGGCATCAGCTCTCTGTTAATGCACAAATGCTCAAGCAGATAAGTTCAAGTAAGTCTTTCTAACAAAGTAGACAGTATTTACATTTCCAGAACTGCAATGCCAGTATTTATTTGACGCATAAAGTTAAAGCCATGTTTGAAATATTTATTAAAATTGAAAATGGAGAGAAAAAAGATATGTCACCTGCGCTGTCCATCCAAAATCCATTAACAAATGTAAGTATCAATGATCATTACAAATATATGAGACTAACCAAATGTTAAACACATGGAAACCAAGACATGATTCCACTAGAAAAAATGCACACATTTCAAATGAAGAGAATACATAAATGGCTGCAAATAGAAGCAAATAAGCATAAAAAATTGGAATTACAGTGGAAGACAGCATTTCAGTTCCAAGTCATCATGCACACCCTAATTCCATCCATGAATGTCCTTGCTGTCTATCCCAATGAACTAAAGTAGAACCTCGACTTCAGAAACAAATGTTCACAGAAGCATAATACTCGTCGACCTGGGAACATACATCAATAACTTTGAGGAGTTATTATTCCTAACTTCTTATAGAACTCTTATGGTCAATCATTATTGGCAGTCCAATAGATATTAACATAAAAAGGATAAAAATATATATATATAAAATGACCACTAATGCACCACTTCCATGTCAATGCATCGCATACCAACCAGTTTCATTGACAGGAATATATTCAGATAACATTATTAAGTACAAGTTTTATGTTGAAAAAAAAAGGGACAAAAACCTTTTCATGATAGAGATTCTGCCATTGATCTTTTTTCCCTTTTTTCCCTCTTTAGTCACATAAATTTCCCATAATATATGGAAAAAACACAGGAATTCAGTCAAAAGGAGCCATTATAGTCACAATTAATGACAGATTTTCATCATTAGTACAAATTTATAGAAGGTTGTGCTCCAAACTTTAAGCAAGAGTTTCCATATATCAATAGAATCTCAAGGCTACCTATTATTTTAGTTGGTGCTACTATAACCTTTTGCAGCTAAATATACTACAAACTCCTAAGGAGGCTTTCATTGAAAGATGATGAAGAGGAATTTATAGCAGCTCACAGCAAATTTAACAACAGAATTGTTCACACAATGATTAAAGCAGACTCATACGAAAGAATTGAGACCATAAATGTCATTTTCACTGTGCTGCAGAAAAGATTCGTAGAAAAAGGATAAAATGAAATTAACAGCACTAAACAGTAACACAAAATAGCAACAGAGTCATCATACTATGAGATTGCCAGGGCAGTCAATTTGGTATGAGTGATTCGTTTCCATCTATCCACTTAGTTAATTGAAACTTGCAAATATGAGTTGAATTTGTGATAGTAGAACTTCTTGGGCATCATAACTCATGTTTCACGATTAAAGAAATGATAATAGACTTCCATAATACCAATTGAAAATTGGCATTATATGCAAATCCAATACAATAAAATCAAATAATACAAATTTGTTAAACATTCAAAGGACCTGCACATTAGTATCCAAGAGGCAAGAAGAAAGGGGGGGAAATTTACATATATACATACATATATATACATATGTATGTATGTATATATATGTATATACTCTTCCCCGGGTCAAATAATCAACAAGATCAAACACTGTGATATTAATCTAAGCACGGATTCGGATATGTAATTTGAATACGATACGAGTACGACGATACGACTTTTTTAGAAAAAATTAGGATACGTGGATGCTAGAAAATTCAATATAGCTTCATTAATATACATATATACACACATACATATAAAAGCATTAAAACAAAAGCATAATAATGAAAATAAAACAAAATACTAAAGCATTTACGTTAACCCTTAACTTTGTTCCAGCTTCATTTTCTTCAACATCATCATCAGCTTCTTCACTATCATTAAAAATAACAATTTCCAACTCTAGCTCATCTAATGATAGTTTAGAAACCTCAAGGAGTCCAACACCTTCAAGAATATCAAATGAGTATCCGACAATATCCCCCATTTTAAATTTTCCTTTTGAATAGAGATCTAATTTTCTTAATAAAAGACAAGAATTGCTATGAATGAAAACCAATTTTTCAACTCATTGTGGAATTATTTTATTTCTTCTCATAGAGTGCACAAAAGATTGCATACTCTAATTTCTTTGTGCACAAAATGAAGACAAAGGTTGTCCAAGAAGTTTCAAAGCAATGCTTTGAAGTAAAAATGCATGTGAACCATGAAGTAGCCACTAGGTCTATAAATCCATATTATACCAATAAGTAATAGACTCAAACTCACTAATAACATTCTTCTTCAAGTGTCCTAACATATTGAATATGTATCTAAAATAATTTAATAAAAAAAAAAATTAAAAAATACCTATCTGATACGTATCAAAAAATTAAAAAATATATAAAATAAATCAGAAACATGTATCCGATACGTATCGGAGGGTATCGGAGAGTACGCAAGCTTAGATACGTATCGGATACGGGTAAGTAATAAGTTTACAAGTATCGGTACTTCTTAAATATTAATGCTAGGCAACAGAGGCATCAATAGACTGTTCACACAAATTAAATCCCATTATTACAGATGATATTACATAGCATATTGTTGGCAGCCTTGAGAAAGTGAAACAACCTTAAAAGTGAGAATAAAGAGCAGTTGCTATTTTCTACTGATTTGCCATGAGATCTACAAACCAGTTGAAAGAGATATGCATACAACAATACCGAACAATTTACATGAACCTACAAATCTTGATATACAGAAAATGAGAGTTCTGTCCATTTCAAGCAGAAAGAAAATGTCATTTCATTAATAGAAGAGATCACTCAAGTTTTATGAAAAGTAACATTTCAACGAAATGACTAACCTCTAAGGGTGTCATCAATTCAAGAGGCTTCTCCCAGCTAGACTGCTTCGTAACTTTGTTGTAAAAATATCTGGATAAACACAATTTCCCCTTCAAAATTCCAATTCAGAGACAATTGAATATGAATAATTTAAAATTTCATTGTAGTAAATATAAAATTGCACTAGTAACAGAGTTAAAACAATGCAGTATCAACAAATTCCATATTGACTAACAATATGTAACACTTGTAAGCTAGAGCTTCTCAGCCCAGTAGCTCAATCTTCCCATTCAAATGGCAGCCGATTAAACCACCATATTGGCCTACCATTCCCCATCTTGACATAATAATTAAATTAGTTGGAAAATAAGAAAAGTCTTTAGAAGGAAATCAAAGTGAATAATTTACCTTCTCCCATCAGCAGCTTGATATTCTTGCCAATCAGAAGCAGTCTGTTGAGTGGTATTAAGACCATTATCAGCCTGAACTTCCAAAACAAGAAATAACTGAGGTCAGGAAAAAAAAAAAAATGAAACAGTGAACTGGAAAAAATCAGACCAAAAAAATAGGTAATTTATTTTCAGGTAGGCACTAAAAACTGTGACAGAATTCTAAAGATTGTAGAAATGAACTAAAGGTTATCTATTTATCTGCATCTTCAAATATAATTAGCACATGAAGCTAAATAAATACTGACTATATCCTTCATTAGAAAGTTCAAGTCCTCGAAACGTAAATGAAACAAAAACAAAATGGGAAGATGAAACTAAGATAAAAGACCTTCCCAGGAATCACCTAATTTCCACATTTATCCTTTGTTACATGCTAAGCCAAACTAAACATAGCCACACAAAAGAGAGTTAAAAGGATCCAAGAAAGAGAAGACAGAGCACTAAAAACCTATTTGAGCTACGCATGATTTTTTTTTTTTTTTTTCCAATAACTAAACACCTTAAAGGTGTCCCAATACGCAAGCAATGCATGCCGATGAGATTCATAGGGACAAAAAATTCATTATATCAAGGGAAAGTTTTCAAACATAATTGCTATTACCACTCTTGTATCCTTATAATAAATTTTCCAAGATTGTTACTATTGGCAATCAAAGCTCACAGCATTGTACCATTCGCATCCTCATACGTGAAACTGCACTTTGGTGGGTTTTGATATTGATTCATACAAGCTTCGAGATTGAGGTGGAGACAATGGTAGGATTGAGATGGTATGTAAAATGAATGTAATAAACTAGACCTTGAAACTAGAAAATGTAAAATTATGCAGGCATATTTCAAATTTTTTTTTTTTTTCCCCTTGGCCATAGTTGAATTTGTTTGCAATATTCTAAATGTTTTGTGTGGTTCTTGGAGGTAAATTGTTTGATTAGTGTCGGCATATATACCCATATATAGTGTTTTAATGAAACAAAAACAGGGCAGTTGACACTATCATGGGTGCCCCACAAGCATCACACAACAGTGAGGTATGAGAACTTAGGAACATCAGGAGCAAGCTCTCTTTTCCTTTCTTCTTTCTCATCTATCTCATTCTGTAAAACACGGTTAGAAATTGCATAATACAAATAATACAAGAGACAAGGTCATAGCAACTTATCATATGCACTGCCCATTTTTCCCTCAATATAAAAGTTTTGAGACGTAATTTTATTATCTAGTCATCCCAGAAGATTGTTTGACAACAGTTAGGACTTGAACAGAAATATGACGACAAAAAGTAGACAGTAATTCATTTTTAAGAAGCATTACATATTAAAACAGAAAAATTATATAAGACATATCTCATTAAGTTGTTCCTAAATCGCAGTTGATGATTGTTTAGGGACTTCTCTCATGTTTTGACTAGACATTTCCATTTCCGAACGGTCGAAACAGAATACAACATGGTAAGTCCCATGGCAAGCATAAGTCCACAGAATACAATTTTTAACATATTTTTTAAAACGTAGACAACTGTAACTTTTATATGTATTTCTTTATAATTTTACAATTATTTTTTTTTTAGGTAGGCATTTACGTATTAAGGGCCTGCAGGGTGCAAGAAATCAGGAATGCATGAAAGTTCAATATGTTCATGCACAAATTTATCCTGCTCTTATACCAAAATGCCAACTTTTGTTGAATTTTGTAAAAACCCAGGTAGGAAAAAAGACTTTCTTCCAAAAAAGATTGAACTGAGAGAAAGAGGTCAAGGCATGCAATATAAATGAGATTGCTCTTTTCTACAGTCCACAATTCATTGAAGAACTATAAGAAAAGCTGTAATCAATATATGCCACAATTCATTATATAACTGAAAGAAAAGCTCTAATCAATAAGTACAGAAAAAAAATTAGAATTTGGGGCTTAACTTGTGCGTGTGTAGCATATATGATATTTCCAGATTTTTCAATAAAAATAAGATAAGTGAATCATTTGTGAACGATGTTTTACAAATAAGACTACAGGAGCAGGCTGATGGAATTGTATCCATTACCAACATGGAACAGCCAAAAGAGAACAGAATGCTTTTAATTTATTTATCAGTAACGTGCTAGATGCGAGACAAGTCATTACAGTTAACCCATGAATAACGCTAAATAACAGATGCTTGAATTATATAACGGTCTTCAGGGTGTTCTAGAAGCACACCAACCAAAAACAGAACTGGCAACTAATGTTATAAAGCAATTGAAAAAGTCTCTATTAAAAGTGAGCACGTCAGGACACTAACCGACACAGTAGCAGCTGTAAGGCCTGCAACCAAAGGTTGTTGACTAGTTTGCTGTAATGGTGCCACAAGTGAAGCACCCTGACTAGAGTGCAACAAAGGTTGTCCTCCAGTAGGGCCAAAGGGAGCAGACACTTGAAATGCAGGTTGGAATTGGGATGTCATGTTCATGCTATTCTGTGGCTGGCCAAAAGATGGAGCGAACTGGAAAAAATAAAATACGCAAAATGATGTCAATGGCTCTCCAAAACATGGGAAAAAAATAAAAAATAAAATAAAAAAGAACTCTTGTCCATTTCTTACAGAGTATGGGGAAGAATATGAAACTCCAGGACTTGGGCCAGTAGGCTGAGACTGCGGCGTGACTGATGAGATAGGCATACTTGGTTGGGCATATGAAGTTGGTGTAGTTTGCCCTGGCTGGCTAGACTGTGGCAGAAATAGCAGCATTGGTTGAGAAAACTGTGGAGGTTGAATTTGACCAGGAGGCAACCCAACATGTTGTGTTTGTCCAACTGGATGAAATTGCTGAGTGGCAGAGGGAGGAATAAATGGCTGTCCATGTGGCATTGGTGCTAGCGGACGAAACTGTGGCAAATAGGTATCAAATATGATCATGATAAGCTTCGTAAAATTATGACACACGGGGGAAAAATGACTCACAAATAAAGAAGACCAAATATGGAAGAAAAAATGAGTAATATAACATACTTGCATAGGAAAGGGAGGACCAAAATTTTGAGGGGCCATGTATCCAGCCGCAGGCAGCCAAAGTGACTGAGAAAGAAATAGAAATACAGAAGGAGAATAAAAACATCAAAAAGAACAAATAGAACTGTTAAGCATTAGAACTACTTATTCTTTATGTTATAAAAACAACTCAGATTACGTATTCAAAAAACAGTAATGTGTCGTCCTTTAACTCTGATAGCCATTTTCTAGCAGATATTTCAAGGAGCAAACTATAACATCATTTTTTTCTATGACTTGCCGCATTTATTATCCAGCAACCTAGCTAAAGAGTTATCTCCTTTTCAATTGTTATATCCACGTCTATTTATTTTACAAGAAACTATTCAGAACTACAACATTACCATAATCAAACAAACCCTCACTATATTAAGCCTGAATTCATATAGTACTGTACAACGGGATAAAATATCTAGAATCAAAAGATACACACTCTTCAGAACCCAACCTGTGCAACAGAAGATGGGAGGTTACTTGCCATGCTTACTGTACATAGGCAGTCTTCCTCAAAACCTTCAGATAACACTTCATTGAGCAAAAAAAAAAAAAAAAAAAAAGGCAACTCATATTATTTCTATTTCTTAAAATTCTAAATCAAATAAAGGGAGAGGAGCATAATAAATGGCGTGAAACCAGATTTACTATTCCCCAAAATATATATAACCGAACAAACCCACGCACACACATACACACGTTTGATTTTTAAGAACCCATGAATTATCTAAAATTCTAATTGGTGATAGTAGAACGGGGACTTACCGAAAAAGGTATCTCTGGGAATTTGAAGCGATATTTTTCTGCGGTAAAAATCAGTGTATGAACCCAGGAAGTGAGTCGAGTCTGAGTTGATTACTCCGGGTGAGGCTCGGGTAAAATTGCCTTGCAGAGAAATAATGTCATCTAACTTCAATTATTTTAGAACATGAATATGGAGTCTGATTTTGAGAATTGATTTTTTGATTGTTAGAAGAAAAGTGGTTCATTTGTGAGGGAAGAAGTCAAATATGACGATTGAAATAGTGAAATACCGATCAAAAAATTAAATTTTTGGGTAAAAATGAGACCCAAACAGGCCCCTAATTTGTCACAATTGACAAGTTTAATTTAATTAAATAAATTGTTATAAAATGAGAGAGAGAGGGAGGGAGAATAGACTGAACGCAATATATTTGTATATATTTTATTAAAAATCAAAATTCTATATTGATAGGATAAAATTAGGGATACAATGATAATAATTTCAAATATTACAGATATACAATTATCATTTATTAATAAACACATTACAATATCTGATTCGTTAAAACCTTATTTGATTAAAAAAAATACAGTTATTTTGGAGTATTCAAAATAAATATTGCTTCATTAAAACATTGTTAGGAAAATTTAATGGAATAAAACATAAGTGAAGGAAAAAGAATATAGATACTCCCCTGATATTGATCACTGAAAATCTTTGAGTCAACGCATTTCAATCTAATGAACCAACTTCTTGAATGTAGATGTTTGCAATGTTTTTGTGAATAAATCGACCACATTGTCACTTGAGTGAATTTGTTGGACATTGATGTCGCCATTCTTTTAAAACTCATTTGTATGAAAGAATTTTGAAAAAATATACTTCATCCTGTTACATTTGATATAGCCTCTTTTCATTTGTGCAATACAAGTTACATTGTTTTATACAAGATTGTTGGATTATCATTTGTTGAAATTAACCTGCATGATATTTGGAAATGATGGGTCATGTTCCTCAATCGTACACATTCTCGACCTGGTTCATGGATTGCAATAATTTCAAAATGATTTGAGAATGTTGTTATCAATTATTGTTTCATGGATCTTCATGATATAACTGTTTTATCATGTGTAACCACATATTATGTTTGTGATTTAACTTTATGATGATCAAATAGATAATATGCATCTACATATCTCACTAAAACAGATCCCGAATTTTGAGAATAAAATAATCTCAAATTAATAGTATCCTTTAGATAACGAAAAATATGTTTACCATTTTAATATATTTTAGTTGGTATATAACTATATCTCGTAAGGAGATTTATAAAAAAAAACTATATCAGGTCGAGTGCAATTTGCAACCTTTGACAGAATTTGATTTTCCCAAATCTTTCTATCAAATTTATTTTTCAAATAATCAGTATTTTTGTTGAGTTCTTTTGAAATTCCAATTAAATTTAAATCATTAACATTAACTACCACAATTGCAAATCTAATATTTGTTTTCTTTATGAACACACATGGATAGATTCGTCATTTTTGTAACCTTTTTTCAACAAATATTCGCTAAGCTATAACTACATGCGTCCGAATTGTTTCAATCCATATAATAATCTTCGCAATTTAATTGAGAACATGATTTTAGAGCATATATAATTTATTTATGACATTTTAAATTGTTCCGGTACTTTCATATATGTCGCTATCTAGTGAACTGTACAAATAGGTAGTTACTACGTCCATAAGGTGCGTATCAAGCATTTGTGACACAATCTATTACGGGAGAATGTGTTTCCTCATAATCAATTCCTGATCCTTAAGAAAAATCTTGTGCTATGAGTTGGGTTTTGTATATTGTAATTTTATTATTTTCATCTGTCTTTCATAAAAATATCCCTTTGTACCCTATAAGGATTACATTTTCAGCTGTTCAAATTACAGATCCAAACACTTTTTATTTCTTTTCATTTTGGTCAATTATTTATATTTTGACAGTTCTTGACTGACTATAATTCAGGATCCCAATTTTGCATAATATTAGTAGTCACATTAAAGAATAAAATATTATCTATAATAAATTTTTTCGTTTCCATAATTTATAATATAATATATAATTTATTGAAATCTTATTATTTTCTGACACTTGTGATTTTTCAAAAACAATATTTTCAATATATGATTGATCAATCTTTTATAATATTCTTTTTTAGAAATTTTTGGTTGATTTTTCTCTTGTACTTTTCTTTTTTAAGGTACGAAGTCTTTTGAACCAATTGATCTGCCACTCTTCTGACGTATTTGAGATTCATTTGCTACAGCAGATTATCCTTTAGGGACACCAATTTTTACTAAAATATTTTATACTGAAATATATGACTTTGTCACTTTTATTTTGTCAACAATTACATCATGCAATTGTTTTGCAACTTTTTGTAAAAGAATGATCTATTCAACCTCTTACTCATATTGATTAGTTTGAGGATCGAAGTGAGATAGAGCTATTTCATTTCAAGAAATTTTACCTAGTCTTTCAGAATGTAATTTTTCTCATCACAAAATTAGGAAAGTCATTTCATCAAAATGACAATCTACAAAATATTCAATAAATAAATCACATATTAAAGGTTCAAAATATCTAAAATAGATGGTGAATCAAAACCCACATAAATCTCAAATCTTTATTAGAAATCCATTTTAATATGTTGTGAGGGTAAAATAGGGACTTGAACATGTAGGATTGATTTCCACCGCCACCACGTGCAAAATCGGGCTCAATTTACCAAGACATTGACACTAACATCGTTGAGACAACTCCAACACCACCTCTTGCCGCCGCCCACTCCGGTTGCTACCAATTGGAGAAGGAGAAGTCCAATAATATGCCCACCAAGGTTAACCACAAAGGTCACAGTGAGGTAGAGGGAGAGGCCGAGAGGGAGTCTCACAAAGAGAAAGGGAAAATCACACACTATGGAGGTCGAGAGAAAGTGAGGGATTATATGCCAAGTAAAATGTCCAAATAGGTAAGTTAGGTTAGGGTTAAGTGGTGGACCAAAAACAAAGGCTCGACTCAATTAAGTGGGCTTCAACAATAATAATATAGCCTTTCAAGGAATGGAGCGAGAACCGTGAGCAACACTATTTAAAATAGGTTGCTTTGAACGGTCCATAACCAAGTGAATTGTGTTGTCTCGTTAATTGTGTTGATGTACTAATCAATCATATGGCCGAGGCCGATTGATAATAAACAACCGAGGTTACATCATCGCCCGAGGAGGTCATTTGACAACAAATTGCCTAACAGAACAGACAATCAAATACTCATAGGAGAGAAATATCAGGTTTATGACCAAATGTCATATGTGAAGGTAAATATTGATAATAAGCAGTTGGTTTTAATGTGAACCAATGATGTAGCATGTACTATGGTATGATGTATAATAGAATTTCCTAAACAAAAATGGGAAGTACTTTGTTGTCAATTAAATTAATTGGAGGCATTTAACAAATAATAGTGTTAAATCATTTATCGACATCCCAACTAACACTTATTAAAATACTGAGATTTATGCTCACTAGCATTAATAAAACACGAACTTGATTATATAATCTAAAAATGATGCTCATAATTTAAAATTTGAGCAGTGATTTCGTAAACTTTAGGTTGCAAACACTATGCAACTATCTAGTATATGTATCAAATTTATTAGATACAAATAACTTTTAGATGATCAACGTGAAAGATGATGAGAACCCATTTATTACCCAAATTAATTTTCAGAAATATAGGGAATTCAATCTCTATTTTAACTAGTGATGGTTAATAAAAAATTTCATGAAAGAGAATAAATATCTTACAGGATTGAATTGGAAAATCTTCTGATTATTTATTGAATATCCATTTGAATTTTTAATTTCGTACCATTAATCCAATGATAATCTAACTGGTCATACAAAATTATAAAGTCGGATTGAACATATGGTTCAATATAAGATATAATTCGATGATTTAATTTCAAAGGATACGATTAAAGTTTATATAATCATATATCATCAAAATAGATAAACAAATCAATGTCCTCATGATATTAGTTAAATATTTTCCTCCAGTGATAAACATGAACTCAAAATGATATATTATTTGAAAATGTCCTAATTTTAAATCACATTATCTTTAATTATTTCTTCTTCGAGAGCAATATGCCAATATTTTTCTAGAATATTGAAAATTATAATCCATGATATTCAAGAGCGATAAATTAGTATTCTTCTTGAATATTAATAATATAGAAATTAGTTTCCTTTAAAAATTATAACACGGTATTGAGTTGTTTGATTTGTGTTTCTTCATGAACATAATGAGATATATTATTTGGGATTTGCAATATTTTGAGAGCACATTATATTTTATTATTGTTTTTTCAAAATCAATATCGCAATATTCTTGTAGAATATTGAAAATTATTATTCATGCCCTTCAAGAGCAATCAAATATTATTATAATAAATTATACAATGATTTACTCTTCAGGAGGAAAAATATAAATTACGTTAAATTGTATTTAACTATACTCTTCAAGAGCAAGTGCAATCTACCTAGAATATTTATCAATAATAATAAATTATTATTATAGGATATGTATATGCATAAAGATCTGCTCTTCAGGAGCAATAAATATAAAAATTTTCTGAAATATTAATTATAATGTTGTGTCATTTCGGAAACAACAATAAATTTATTGAAATATTTACTCTAATTTAATTCAACCAAAAATAGAGAAGTACAATGGGCAATGTCCCTATGTACCACTTTGAGTGAATACTTAACGAAGATAAAGCTGAAAAAGGCAAGTCCAATGTTGAAGTACCAGCATTCTAACTAACATTGAGTGGAGTTAGCAAAGAGATGATACATGGAGCTTCCAACATGGTCAATTAGAAGCTTTCCACACTTGAAATAAGCTTTCCTTGGTGCCTTTGTTGGAGCTGTCTTGGCAAAACTCTTGCAACTAGACTCGAGTTATATAAGGTAGGGGAAAGGAGAATCATAGAAAAGCTAATTTAGTCACTTTAATTCCAAGTTTATTGCCTATGAGATATCTAATAAAAAGGCAAATAATGCTCTATGGAATAGACTTCGTATAGAAGCTCTCTTTTGAAAGGAAGTTCAAAATAAAAA